ATCGATCAGCCACATAGACAGTGCCCAATTGATCGACAACGACTCCTTGAGGATATGACAATTGTGTAAGATCATTTCCTTTTCCTTGACCACCAGCCACGACAATGCCTTGTTTTGCACCTTCCATCCATTTCATCACACGATCATTTCCCCATTCAGATACGTACACTGAATGATCTCGATCGACGAATACGTATTGTGGGCAAGAGAGTTGATCGAGACGATTTCCATATCCATTGCCACCTGCAACCACTGTTCCTTGAGATTCTCCTCTTCGATATCGTCTCACTTCATCTTTTCCATAGGCAGTGACATAGAGAGATCCATTCTCGTCCATTGTCAAACCCCAACAAGAGATGTTGGAGATGATTGTTTCTCCACTTGTCCCATTTCGACGAGGCCATCGAACCACTCTTCTATTCGAATAATCGCATATGATGAGACTATCTCTCTCTTTGTCGATAATCACATCTTGTGGGTTATCCAATTGATGATCTCCACTTCCTTGTCCATTTCCACCGGCAACCACTTGGCCACTTGTTGCACCTCGTTTCCATTCCATAATACGATGATTCGACCATTCAGCAACATAGATTGTTTGACCATTATCAACATACAAACCACATGGGTTTGAGAGTTGATTGATTCCATTGCCTTGTCGATTTCCTCCAGCTACAGTGATACCACACTGTTGCCGTTTGGAGTTCTTATGCGTGTCAGTCCATAGTGAGAATGCTGAAACCAGTGAATTGTTTGGAGTATGAATGAGCATTCGCCAATAGAGCATCCAAAGTGGACGATGAATGTAATGAGTGGTTGGATGCTTGAAATAGACAATTTCTGCTTGGTCTGTTCGATTTTTGAGCTCATTTGTAAGCATCGAAGATTGAGCTTTTTAAAAGTTTTCTCTATTGGACATTGATTTTTGAGTTGTTGCAAATGTTATTGTAACTCAAAATCCATGAGAAGTTTGACTACGCAAAGTGGACAAACCTATGCAAAAGATACTTTTGATTGCTGGATATAGTTTTAAGTGCTCAAAACTCATTGGAGTTTCCCATGCTTGCTGAGAGGAAATATATCGAAAAATTACGTCTGACTTCTCAATAGAAATTTGAATACTAGAAACGTCTTCAAACTCTTGATTGTGAGACATTTTTTTGCAGTGCTATTGATTGATATTACCAAAGCTCTGTATACTCGGTATATGTTTCTGGTTATTTAAAACAATATTTATCAATTACTGCTATAATCAGTGACATAATCAGCTTACATTCCTAGTCAATATTATCCTAATACAGATGTTTCTATTAATTTTTGAACTATTGAAAGATATTATGGAGCAATATTTTGCCATTTGATCGCGCAGATGAGTTGATTTTTACACTGAGGAAACAAGAGCAGACTTCTGCATTTCTGACGAGTAAAGAAATAACGAAAAGTACTAAGAGGTGCCAAGAAATATCGACCAGTATATTAATATTTACAAAACTGGAAACAGTTTTTGCTTGCTGTATATATTTATTAAACAGAAAAAGAAAGAAAATCATGAGAAAATAAGTCAAATTGATGTTAATTTTTTTTACTTCAACTTGAAAAATTCTACAAAAGTCCCACTGCGTTGTGAAAATCTTTTTCTTCCACTTGCACCCAGGTTCTAACTCCTTTAAATTTTGAAATTCCTTCTCATAAATCTGAGGCATCTTAACTGTACGGCGATATTATAGGAATTAAAATCATAGCACTATCACAAATTAAATTTTATCTGACACTATTGTAAGCAAATGGATACATAATCGATGTTGCAAAAGTTCCTGGAAAAGTATCGCTTCATCTTTCATTGACTAAAACATGTTTCAAAAAAATCAAAAGTACACTTGCAAAATCTACAGTACAAGCACTTTCTAACTGTATATTCAAAAACTTTTTATCATGTTTTTTCTTTGAGTAATGAGCACATTTTAAAATAACACTAAAGCACGGACTCTAAAAAGTAACTCGTGCAACTTTTGTGGTAGAAATAACCGATATTCTAGTAGATTTTAAATTTCTCTTATGCAATTCATCGTAAACTGTTGCTTATTTGTTCATTAGATTTTGTCGTCTAATACTCTGCTAGAAATACATATCACATTGTTTAAAGATCAATTCATTGAAACGCAACGATTCCGATTTACTTTTTACAGACGACATTTAAATGTTATTAAATGATGTCCTCGTTACTCAAAGATAAAACTTTTTTGAACAAACAGTTAGAAAAGACCTTCAATGCAGGTCATGTTTTAGTCGATGAAAAACGAAGTGACATTTTTCCAAAAACTTTTGTCACGCCCATTATGTTTATTTTTACCCAGGAAAAAATTAATGCTTTTTCAATTTCAAATCCTTTTCTTGATCAAATATATATTCGTAATATGTAGTAAGAACTTCTCACGAGGAGAAATTTTCAATTTAATTATAGAACAAGACGACAACCTTAAACTAGCACCTAAAAATAACATTAAATCCAAGAGAAACTCAGGACAATATTCAGCAAGCTTTCATCAACAGCAGCTTTTTGAGAAAAAATAAGTGCCCTTGAACAACTTCGTCCAACCAACAAAGCATCAACAAAAATACCAATTTTTGATCAAGTGTCAATAATAACAGGAAATCCAAGTGAAAAATTGGTTTAAAAAACATTTTGAAAATAATAAAAATACATTTATTGACATGAGTGGAGATATTGAATGACACTAAACTTTTATTCGCAATAATCACTTTTTAAAATTAATCTAATGTAGATGTCTTTTATCGTTTTGCTACTTTTCTACTTCATGATATTTTTCTTTTGAATTGAGAGTGTTTGTTAACTAAAAGTTACGAAGTCTCAAATATAAATTCTACACTGTAATTTTTTTTAAAATTCTATTTTGAAGAAAATCGATATTGAGTAAGCTAAAGGATTTTATAAGTCTTATGATTTATTCATCGAATTTCGAATATTTTGAAAATGCTGGATTTTCTAATTCTAAGAATTTCGGTTTTATTTCCTATGTTAAATCGAAGCTAGAATATCATTTGCTTATTTTCAAAAAGCTGGAAATTCATTGTTGAATTCATATGGACATTCCTTGAATATCCTTCCAGAATTCATATAGGCATTCCCTTTTTTTACAGTGTACATGAGAAAAGAATATAATAGACCGTTTGAAGTTCTCATAATTTGCTTCGGCTCTCACTTCACCTCTAAAATTTATTTGATTGACTCCAATTCCTACTCCGGTGAACTATGATTCTGCGTTTAGTATCTGTATTCAATTCAGCTATCGAGTAAGCCTCTGAGTATGCATATAACCTATGAGAGTGAACGCCAGTGTTGCTCTTCGCTTCAGAAACATCAAGCCACATACATACTAACATTCACCTTCGCAATCCACATAGACAATCAGATCAGATACGACGACCCACACTCTAGTTTATTCTATGGATCATTGTCAGAGATAAAAAGCGAATATCAACAAGATTGACTCTCAACATCTGTTAAGAATTTGAATCGATATTGAATTTTTGTACTCGATGATTTCCCCAATCAACGACATAGAGATTCCCGTGTCGATCGAATGACAAACCGACGGGCCCACAGAGTTGGTTCGATTGTTCTCCTCTACCGTTTCCACCAACAATGACACTTCCTTGTGTGGCTCCTTTAGGCCAACGCATGATTTGATTATTCCCTGCATCAGCCACATAGACAGTGCCCAATTGATCGACAACGACTCCTTGAGGATATGACAATTGTGTAAGATCATTTCTTTCTCCTTGATCACCAGCCACGGCAATGCCTTGTTTTGCACCTTCCATCCATTTCATCACACGACGATTGTCCCAATCAGATACGTACACTGAATGATCTCGATCGACGAATACATATGTGGGGCGAGAGAGTTGATCGAGACGATTTCCACGTCCATTGCCACCTGCAACCACTGTTCCTTGAGATTCTCCTCTTCGATATCGTCTCACTTCATTTTTTCCATAGTCAGTGACATAGAGAGATCCATTCTCGTCCATTGTCAAACCCCAACAAAAGATGTTGGAGATGATTGTTTCTCCACTTGTCCCATTTCGACGAGGCCATCGAACCACTCTTCTATTCGAATAATCGCATATGATGAGACTATCTCTCTCTTTGTCGATAATCACATCTGTTGGGTTATACAATTGATGATCTCCACTTCCTTGTCCATTTCCACCGGCAACCACTTGGCCACTTGTTGCACCTCGTTTCCATTCCACAATACGATGATTTGATTGATCAGCAACATAGATTGTTTGATCATCATCAACATACAAACCCCATGGGTATGAGAGTTGATTGATTCCATTGCCTTGTCGATTTCCTTCAGCTACAGTGATACCATTTTGTTGCCATCGAGCATTCGGATGAATGTTAGTGCTGGATGGAGATCGTAATGGATAATCTGAAATAGAGACAAGAAAAATTATTAAAATAAGAGAGAAAGAAAGTTTCTCTTCATAGGAATCGGATTATGTTACAAGACGAGAATTCTTTTTGAGTCAAGTTCTCAACTTTGTTAACATCGATTATTTTTAAACTTTTTTTTGTTAAATAAAAGTTATTCACTGTAACATTTTCAATCAACCATCCATTCTTCCTTTAGCTTGCTCTTAATTTCATAGGATTGTTCACAAAATGTCAATGACACAACATCGCTTCATTTCTTCACCAGCATGATTTGCAATGAAATCGATAGTTAAACTTATGATCTGTTTCCAACGATAATAACAAAGAAAAATGTTCTTATGGAAAACTCAACATTTGCTCTTTTGACAGTTCCCGATTGTATTGCCGATTGCTGTATAATAACTGTGTACAGTTTTCTGTCTCTATCCTTCATTTATTTTACATATTTTCAAACTTTTGAATTGAAACGACAGTTTCTGAACACTTGTATCGCCAATCTAGGTGTTTGAGCATGCAGCTATTGAAAAAGTTGTTTGATTAGTTGAACAGATTCAAGCTTTCATAAATCATTATCTGTATTTTGTTCGTCGAGCACTCTTAGTTTACTATGTTTCTTTAAAAGTCATCATTTTACTGAGGTCGTAGCAAATCTTCAATGATTAATAAATTTTTCAAGATCTTTGATTGCTAATTTTTACAAGTATGCACAATGGAACATCATCGCGAGAAAATCAGATATCTTATTTCCCCTAATATTAGCACATTCATGGATACAATGGTAGGTACTAATCGTTTTATCCTAATGGTGTAATCATACCATTGCCCTCACCCTATCTCATACTCTTAGTCTCAATTGATGTCAAGTTAGTACATTTTTGATTTCTTAACTAGTTTTGAAACGATAGATTTCAAGAAAAGAAATAATTATACTTACATTGAAATTTCTAAGAACTTTTTTAATTGATAGAAATTCTGAAAATATCAAAACAGAATGGTCATATGAAGTGAACCAAACTTTTGTGAACCAAAGTGCGCTACTATCAACGCGAAAGGTTTTAAAACACGTCGACAGTAGCGCACTTTGGTTCACAAAAGTTTGGCTCACTTCCCATGACCAAACAGAATGAACTTTACAGTAATTTTGCCATGTAAATTTCAAACTTAGTAACAATTTGGAATTTTCTACTTTATACTATAGTCGATATGAAATAGTACATATGTTAAAACTTTAAGCTTCCATTGTCTTTAGAACATTGAAGTGAAGAGCAATCAAATACATTATAATTCTTCAGTAGACACCAGTTAAGTATCCATCACTAATTTATTACCTGTTCGACGAAAGAATGTTTTTTTGACATCATTTTTCAATAACCTCTTATCTACCCATGTGGTTCAATATTTCATCATTAAGACTAGTGCATAATTCCTAGATATTTCAAGGATCTCTTGAAATCTCTTAAAGCAATCAATTGAAATATTCAGTTCCTATGACTAATAATTGTGACTTGTAAGTAAACTTGCTTATCATGAAGATTTCTTCCAAAACAATCACTATTTCGCTGAATATGAAAGAAAACAAGGTCTTAAAGTTAGCACAAACTTGCGTTACAAATGTTCTTCATTCGAACAATCGAAAGTCTTTAAATAAAATACCAGTAGTCGTCTATATCTCAATTGTTTCCATTCGAGATCTTCTTTCAATTATTTGAATTGGTACAAGTCATAGACATATAGTAGGATAAACAATAAACAGGTATGATGAAAGTTTTGCAAAATTTCTCGATGTTACATATATAATAGAAATAATGTTGGCAAGAAATCGTTTTAAAATCTAGTATTTTTTCTGCATGGAATACCTCATTATATCAGAAGCTAAAATGTCAACTATTCTTTCAAAAAGTCTCCTAATGTCCTTATCAATAAGAAGAACATCATACAACTTCTACAATGTTTTTGTAATATATGTTAGCTGATGAGGATATAGATATGAAGTGGTGAATTGATGTAGATTTGAGTATCAACATCTATTGACATGCTCATTAAGAACGAGTGTGTGTCATTCTTTCATCTGAATTTTGTTGATAGTTATTTGGTTAAAGAAGTTGGTTCTTTTAATAGATAATTTGCCATTTCAAATGTTGTTTACATTTCTCAATAAACTTCGTTTTGTCTCTATTATTGCTCTTTTTTATCTATTATAAACCTAATCATATAAAACTACTAGCTTTTATCTCAGTATTATCTTGGGTAGAAATCAAGAAAATATGAAATTTATTGCTTCTTCTTATAGTGTTTGCATATTATATTTCAACAATGAAAGTCAAGAGTTTCGAAACTCGTATTACAACTGTCCAACGATAGTTGCGATGAAACTATATCATCAAGATGAATACAATTTTGTGTCTTTTAAACTACATCAATACTATTGAAAATTGAATTTTATCTTTTCTTGTTCCATTTCAATGATCTCAACATGTTAATAAACTCTTTTTCTTAATTCTTCGTCAATCAAATGTTTGCTATTTTTCTATTATACTAAATAGATTAATTTAGTTGAAACTTTTAAATAGAACTTTCATTATACAAGATATAATCACATAGTATGACTTTTTTAAATTTATTTATTTTCGAAATAGAATTTCTCCAAATGCAAGTTGATTATGAAAATAAATCCATGTTAGTCGTATGTTTATGTGAAATATGAAGAAAACAAAAGATATATTCTACTTTGCTAATTATTCGTTTTTTGTATTCAGAAAATTTGACCTCGTTCACAATCAAAGTCCAAAACTGAACTAATTCAGTTTGATTCCAGCTCTAGTCACTGAAAAAAGTTTCAGAAACTGAGCTAGATGACTAGATGAATATCTTCGAATGGCTAATGGATAATTGGCTCTGAATGTGAGTCAAAGAAATTAAACTTTCGACAAATACCTTTCGATGTCGTAAATCAAGCGAAACTGAATAAATCAGATTTATTCGTTGCTCATCGTGATCTAATTTGTAGAAGTGTTGATCCATTTTGATCTGTATATAAACTGTAAAAAAAATCACTCTACTCAGTGGCCAATGTAATTAATTCCTTTCTAAGATCGTTTTCTGATGATAATGTAATTGTAAGTAACATGAAAAAATAACATAAGTTCATACTTTTTAAACTATCTAAGACCATCCAATAAAAAGTAGTTGACGAATAAAAAACAGAAATAATGTAAGGCATTTGAATTAGAAATCAAAAGTACCATTGTACTGTTATTCTACAGCAATCTCTGCGGAATCGATCTTTGTTTAACATGATTATTCAGTTTTCAACGAAAAGATTCTTTATTTTTACGGTCTTAGAAAATAGATCATAAGCATAACTCTCTATTTCATTGTAATTTATGCTCGAAAAGAATAGGAGTGATGACATCTGAGAGCGAAATAAAGCAATAATGGATGATTGACTGAAAATATTACAATGAATAACTTTGAATTCAACAAAGTACCATTTTAAACTAAAACAGTCGTTGCTGACAAAGTTGAGAGTTTGACTAAAAAACTATTTCTCGTCTTGTAACAAAATCCGATTTCTATGAATAAAAAACTTCTTTCTCTTATTTTAATAATTTTTCTTGTCTCTATTTTAGACTATCCATTACGTTTTCCATCCAGCACCAACATTCATCCGAATGCTCGATGGCAACAAAATG